TTTCAAATTGTTGATTTGAATCCTGGCTTTATCACTTCCACTGTTGGTTCAGTGTAGATTTTTCTTTATTTCACATAATGTGACCTTAATTTCTACTTGGGTCTTTTTTATTTTGTTTCTGTACTCAATGAGTTCCATGAGCATCCTGATCACCAGTGTTTTGAGCTCCACATCTGATGTGTTGGTTATCTCTGTTTCATTTAGTTCTTTTTCTGGGGTTTTGTTCTGTTCTTCCATTTGGACCATATTGCTTTGTCTCCTCAATTTGGCAGCCTCTCTGTGTTTGTTTCTTTCTAATAGATACAGCTGCTTTGACTCCCTGTCTTAGTAGCATGGCCTATTGTAGAAAAGACACCTGTAAATTATGTGGAGTGGAGCCTTAGGTAATCACTAAGTCGGAGCAACCTGCTTCACTTGCTTTGTGGCTCTGTTTCAGGGGAGGGCTCAAAGAGGGGGCAATGACAATGCCTGGCTTCTGGAGGTTTGCCTGGCATTTGTACTGTACAACTGTTCCCCTTCCGGCTATTGCCCTTATGCTAAATGCCAGAGAGGGTGAGTCTGTGTATGTTTTAAGTCCATGCGGGTCCTTTTTAGTGGAATCCCCTGAAAAATCTGGCAGTTTCTTCTGCCATCTCAACAACTAGTTTCTACAGCCCGAAGTTATGGGGATTTGTCTTTCTGGTGCTGGAACTCTAGGCTGTGCAGTCTGGCCTGGGGCTGGGGTTCCTTGCTCCCAAGGTCTCCCTCCTCATTTTTATCTCCCACACGTGAATGTGGGACTGCCCGTTCTGCTGCCAGTGCTGCCTCTCTGCACCTCTCCACCTGTCTCCATATCTCAGCCCTTTCTACCCATCTGGATGAATGTGGCTTCTTTAAATCCTTCATTGTTGCACTTCCATACAACTTGATTTTCTGACAGTTCTGGGTGTTTTTTGTTTTGTGGTCTAGTTCTAACTCTTTTTGTGGTTGCAGGAGGAAGTGAAGTGGTTTACCTGCACCTCTGCCTTGACCAGAAGGCCCAGATAATATTTTAAAGTATGTCAGTTTATGCTTACGTATAAGCATTCCCTAAAGCTTTGGATTTAACAGGAAGCCAAATAAAGGAAGTGTAAGTTTTTTCTGTACTAATGGAGATTTACTTCATAGCCTTTTTCTCTGGAAACCAATATAGATCTCTCCTCAAGACTAGGAATATTTGCATATGAGGTATGATTCAAAAGGCTAGAAACATCTCTTCTGTTCTTTCTAAAATGCTTCACTGTGTTTTGTCATATTGCCTGATAATTTTGCCTCAGAGACTTATCCTTTTGAGATAATATACTGCGAATATCTCCGACAGGTTGTTTTCTGCTTTAGTCATCCTCATACAGATACTGGTGAGCAAAATCCATTGATTACAAGTTAAAGGAAAGATTGTGAGCTGACAATCCCTAGAGTACATACTTCCAAATGCTGCTTAGAAATTTCCATGATTTTCTCAATCTAGTTTATAAGAATAAAGAAATTAAAAATCAAAAGGATGTGGGCATGTTTCATAAAATTGTACAATTGATATTCTCTTTCTATTCTCTCTGTTGATTTAAAAGCAAAAGAAATGGAATGTTAACAAGTGGTAGGGTGGTACTACTGTAGTTGTGGGGATTATGGAAAGGCCTCTTCTAGGATGTGATTTAAAAAAAACTTTAAATTTTATTTTTCAATAACAGTCTACTTTTTGGCATTATTTTGTATCAGTTTCAGGTGTACAGCATAGTGGGCAATCGTGCACTTTACAGTGTGCCACCCTTGATATTCCCAGTACCCACCTGCAACCACACATAGCCATTACAATATTATTGACTATATTCCATATGTTGTACTTCATATCCTGATGATTATCCTGTAATTACCAAACTGAACTTCCTAGTCCTTTCATCTTCTTCACCCCGACTGCCAACCACCACACCTTGAGTAATCATCACTTGTTCTCTGTGTATATGAATGTCCCTCAATTCTGTTTATTTTTTTCTTTACATTCCACATATAACTGAAATAATACGGTATTTGTCTTTCTCTGGCTGTTTCACTTAGCATAATACCCTCTAGTTCCATCTACATTGTTGCAGATGGTAAGATTTTGTTCTTTCTGATGGCAGAGTAATATTCCATGGTGTATATGTACCACAGCTTTTTTATCCACTCATCTATTAATGGTCATTTGGGTTGCTACCATGGCTTGGCAATTGTAAATAATGCTGCCATAAATATAGGGGTGCATATATACATTCAAATGAATGTTTTGGCTTCAGATCATTCACAGAAGAGGAATCACTGGGTCATAAGTCAGTTCCAGTTTTAATTTCCTGAGCCCTCCCATACTGTTTTCCGTAGTTGCTGCACCAATCTGCATTCCCATAGAGTACACAGGGTTTCGCTTTTTTCCACATCCTCACAGCACTTTTGTTTATATACTTATGGATAATAGCCATTCTGACAGTCGTAAGGTGACATCTCATTGGTTTTAATTTGCATTTCTCTGAGGTTTAGTAATATTGAGCATCTTTTCGTATGCCTATTGGCCACCTGTATCCTCTCCTTAAAGAAGTATCTATTCAGGTTCTCTGCCCATTTTTTAATTGGAGTGTTTGTTTTTACGGTGTTAAGTAGCATGTCTTCTTTGTAAATTTTGGATATTAAACCTTCGTCAGGTGTATCATTGACAAATATCTCATTCACTAGGTTGTCTTGTTTTGTTGATAGTTTCCTTTGCTGTGCAAAAATTATTCAGTTTGATATAGTCCCATTTGTTTATTTTTCTTTTGTTCCCCTTGCCTGAGGACATGTATCAGAAAAAAAAATATTACTAAGAGAAATGCCAGAGATTGTACTGCCTATATTTTTTGTAGGGGTTTATTCTTGTATGTAGTATAAGAAGGTGGTCTGCTTCATTTATTTACCTGTATCTGTCCAATTTTTCCAGCACCATTTATTGAATAGATTATCTTCACCCCATTTGTATGTCTTTGCCCTAGGGAGTAATTTTTAATAACTTTTATTTATTTTTAAGAGATTTTATTTATTTATCTTTAGAAGGCAAGGGAGGGGAAGCAAAGGGAAGGAGAGAGGAAGAGAAATATCAATGTGTGGTTGCCTCTCGTGAGTCCCCTGCTGGGAACTGGCCTGCAACCCTGACTGGGAATCGAACTGTAATCCTCTAGTACACAGACCCGCGTTCAATCCACTGAGCTACACCAGCCACAGCCTAGGGAGTGATTTTTTTAAACCAGGACTTAAATGAGGAATAGTATTCACTTGTGTAAAAATCTGGGGGAAGCACTTTTCAGGTAGTGGGAAAGGGAAGTATATAGTTTCTCAGGTGGTGAGAAACTTGACATGTCAGAGACTAGGTAATTTTCACTTTGGTTAATTTGTGCATTCAAATTATATTATTTCATAGATTATTCTATAAGGCTTTTCACAGATTACACCCTGGTTAAAATTAATTGTCCCTGACTCCTACCATGCTCCATGCTAATCTGTACCATTGTATATGCTATTTCTTTGATTTTGATAGCTTGTCATTCATTCATTCGTGCCTAATAATCTGTGACTCATCTCTTAAACTTCACTGTACACATTCCCACTTTTAGGAAGCCTTCCCTTCTCTCTCCACCCAGCATTGTTAGTTACTCAATTTTTATGCTAGCGTTACTTTTACACTTGATAAATTTATATGCAATTACTAATTTGCATATACCTACTTTAATACTTCTGAGTTTCTTTAAAACAAAAATGTTATTAATTCATCCTTGGGTACATATAGACCAGAGTAGTAGTATTACACAGTATGTAGTACTATGTATATAGTAGGTAATCAATAAATCATTGTTAAATAAATGAGAGAATGGATATCTTTTCCTTTTTATAACTTATGCAATATTTATCTTCAGAACAGATTCCATGATATATTTATTAAGGATAATAGCCATAAACTAGCTCTAGGTTATAGCTATATTCTATAGCCAGTAGAATATTTATCATTTTCTTATGGAAAAATAAAATGTTAAATTAAGTACCATTCATATTTAATGCAAACTATACTCATGGAAACATTGTGAAAATATTGAGTAATTTTTGACATGCAGTTTTCAATTCAGTTTTTCCATTATTCTGATAGACTTTCAGTCTGCTTTTACATAAGTTAGCATTGATTGCCAGTTACTACTTAATAAAAATCTTGATTTAATAGCATGCTTTCTGTGGTTTATCTTTTTAAGTTAGAGTAATAGAGCGGTATTTGAGACATTAATTATATTTTGTTTATCAGAATTTACTGTCCTTAACTTGGAACCTTAGGGCTTTTCCAACTCCTAAGTGCCCAGCAGAATAGAATAGTTGGATGAGGAGCTAGGAGTGGAAAATCTGGCCAGATAAATGGGAGGAGGATAAGGACATTTTGATAAGATGAGTCAAAGGTCAATTCTGTCAGGGAACAATGACAACACTATGCTTTAATAGATGACAGAGAAGTTGTAGAATGCAGCATTAAAGTTGTAGAATCAGAAATACATACTTGAAGCGCCCCCCCTAGAAAGTTCCCAAATGTTGGCATTTGCTAAGTGTCTAAGTGCTTGGCATTTATTCTGGGCCTTATCTGTAGTCAGGGAGAGGCTTTTACCCTGCAGGTTCTCTTTGAAGTCATTGGTGATAGAACTGCATGATGCAAACTTACTGAATGAACTAAACTAATGAATAAATGCATAAGCTTTTACATTTAATTCTATATATTGTTTTAGAAATTTGAATCAGTAGCAAAACCTACATTGTTATTTAATCTAATGGGTTAGAATTTACTTCTAATAATTTTTTAACACTCAAATTGTCCCATATTTGGTTTGCCGAGGCCACTTCAAGTTGGTTCACTTATCCCTTTGATATGTCCCTCTGATTATTAGAACATTTCTTTGCTTCATGATATTTAAAAAAAGTTTCAAATTTTTCTTGTTCTTTCTCTTCCCCAGCTCTGGTTCTGCCTTTTTTCCAAAAATAGCTCTCTTCCTGCTAGTGAAGAATGATATATAGAAACCAAGATATGGTAATTTTTTTAAAGATTTTATTTGTTTTTACAGTGGGGAAGGGAGGGAGAAACAAAGGAAGAGAAATATCAATGGGTGGTTGCCTCTTGCACGCCCCCTCCTCGGGACCTGACCCACAACCCAGACATGTGCCCTTACTGGGAATCAAACCAGTGACCCTTTAGTTTGCAGGCTGGCACTCAATTCAGAGCCACAGCAATCAAGACCCAAAATGTGGTAATTTGACTTGTTGACTTGTTTATTGCTATTTTGGGGTCATTACTAATAAGCCCTTTGAGTGGACAGAGATAGGAAATACAGAGAGAAGTATTTAAAATGTATTAATATGTATTCTATTAAGTACATAAACAGAGATAAATCTTGGCTTATTGGGAGCACATTAACACTTTTGAAGGGAATATATTTGTTATCTACATAAAGTGGGCCTACAAAATAATAATAATTGACCTTGAGCAAAGCACATCAAATAGATTTAATAGTTAAAGGTTACATATCTTGGAATCTCAGATGCAGGAAGGAGACATTTTCTAGAACTATCATCTAGATGTTAATAGAGTAGACCCTTGCAGTGTTGTTTGGGTCTGTTAGAATAAAAATAAGATTGGAGACAAAAGCATTTTAACCGCATGGTAAAATCATATTAGGCATTCATTATACTCAGAATCTTGGATGAATATTTATGAGAGGAGTATAAACAAATAAGGAAGTAGTGACACTGTCTACTTGGGTAAAATACTAATATGCTCTCTTTGGATAAATACAGTAGCTACAGAGGCAATACTAGCCATTTCATTTAGCAATAGCTTGACTATCATTTGGCTACTAATATGGATAACTTACTTGAAAAAGATGAGGAGTGTAAACCTCAAAATAATCATGACTTGTATCCTAAAAGTTCTGTGAGTATGTATTCAAATTCATAGAGTTTTCTCCCAGCATGTCAAGGGGGGCTTTTTTCTAATGGTTTATCTCTCCCCAATTAACTTTGAAAACCAGAGCTTCTCTATTTGTTTTTGTTGTTTTTATTTATTTATTTTTAGAGAGAGGGAGAGAAACATCAATGTGTGGTTGCCTCATATATATGCTCCCCAATGGGGACCTGGCCTGCAACCCAGGCATGTGCCCTGACTGGGAATCAAACTCGTGACCCTTTGGTTCGCAGCCCATGCTCAATCCACTGAGCTACGCCAGTCAGGGCCAGAGCTTTTCTATTTGGTTTGATAATCCCAAAGATTAATTCAGTAGAAATGGAGGCTTATTGTTACCGATTCATTCACTTTATCTAGAAAAATACAGTTTGATAGTTTTATGTACTATAATAAATCATACATTCCTACTATAGTACTACATCATATACACACTTGCTCCCTATTGCATTGTAATAATTTAGTGACCTGAAAATAATGTAAAATATATTTATACACATATATTCATGTTATTTTTTATTTCAGATATCATAGAAGAGAAACACCAGAAGCCACAGCATAATATAAAAAGGACACAATTTGACCAGTGTTACAAAGCAAGATTAACAGTTATTAAGAATGTATACTATATATATTGTATTTTGTTTAATCATCTAAACAATGTAATTGCTACACCTGTTATTCCCATTTCATAGAAAAATAAACTGACATTACATGCTTAGTTAAACTCAGTCTACTTCTTGTATGTAATACATTGTGGAGATTTGACTCAGACCCACATGTTTGACCCTAGACCACATACTCTTTTAAATTCATCACATCAAACTTTGCTCTCCCCAATTCAGCAATAGTTTACTCAACTAATTCTTTGTGTTTTCTTCTGAAAGAGAAGGATATTGGCTTGTTTTAACAATCTACAGTGTTTTAACAATCAGTAAATGTGTTCACTGTACATCATAGTTTTTTTTTTTAGTGGTCTGTATTCATGCTTTCAAATTAACTCTGACAGTGATGCTTTAAACTTAATTTCAATTTTATTAATTAAAACGGATCTGAATACATTGAAAAATATAAGTTGTGACAACAGGATGGAAATATGTGGGTGAAAGCTACCCCAGGGTCATTTTAAATGACTTTATCCAAAAGAGCTGCCTAAAAGGCAATAGGATCCCAACAGAGAGAGTCTGAGAGATGGACTCCTGAGACCTGAATCCCAGTCAGGTGCTGGTGAGAGATGCCTATCAGTGAATGGGGAGAGGAGTGAATGGTCCGAAGAACCCTCCAAGGAACCGAAACTCCCTTCAATGAAAATGAAAAGAGTCAGCTATGACACTTGGAAAAGCAAAGAACAGTGATGGCAGCTCTAAAATACAAGCATGCAGGAGATTCCTGTGCCCTTACCTCTTCTCCCGTCACCATCTGGAATCCTGGAATGGTCAGAAACGGTGCAAATTAGGAATTGAGGAGAGGACGAAAGACGAATTGGGAAAACAGAGGAATATCTATCCAAGCTGTACTTTATACTACAAGCCTGCCTTCTGTTGCATAGCTGATTAGGTGAGTGCAGAAGCTTTAATTTTGAATGAAGCTTGAAGTTTTTATTATTACTTTAGTACACCTATCAGTTTCAGAAGTGAAACAGTTTAAGTGACAAAAGTACCAGGAGGATACATTATTTAAGATAGCTCTGGGGCACCAACAAAGATTTTATTTAGGGGAAGGAGAAGAATTACCTCACAGAGCATACTTCAAAGGACATTATGAGAAAAAAAGAAAGTTATGTAATGATTTTATTATGCCAGTGTGTTTCAGAATATCATGTGTTTATATATCCATATATCATATATCAAAAATTATACATTTATATATGTACATGTGTCATATGGAGCACATTTTACAATTTTCTTAATTTTTAATTAAATATTTATTTGGTTATTCTCTGTTTCATTTCTATATATTCTAAATGTTATAGCTATAAACAAGGGTAAAATGTTTATATGCAATATTTTATATATTGTTATAATTGATAAAGTAGTATTTAAACTCCATGTGTCATGTGATATATTTCATATTCTATCATTCTTGCATGTGACTGTTATAAAACACAAATCATCCATGGTTGGTGTAAGTGGATTGAGCACGGACCTGCGAACCAAAGGATTGCAATTCGATTCCCAGTCAGGGCACATGTCTGGGTTGCAGGCCAGTTCCCAGCAGGGGACGCACAAGAGGCAACCATACATTGATGTTTCTCTTCCTCTCTCCTTCCTTTCCCCTCTAAAGATAAATAAGATCTTTAAAAAAATAAAATAAAACACAAATCAGCTCAAATCAACAGGACCAAAATTAGATTTGGAAAAATTTATTCAGTATGATGTGTAAGATGAGTCAGAATTAATTCTACTTGAGTTCACAGAGGATTTGAAATCAGATGTAAATTTGTAATATATTACTTTAGTTATGAATTAATATTATATTTGCTTTCACAAAATGGTATTATGTTTCTGAGTACCATTTAGACAGAACATTACAACAGATATTCTATCTTTAGTCTCTTCCTCCCCACCACCTAAATGTCATTGAAAAATCTGTCCATATTGATTATCAGTATTCAAGACTGGTTTTGAAAAATGCGAAGAACCAAAGATTTATAATTTAGTGGAAGATATAACAGAATTAAATATTTTATAAGTACAGGAAAAAATGTTCCTTGAGAGGTAACAATTTTAAAAAACTGGTCTATCAAATACTGAATTTTAAATATTAAGACTATCAAAGATATAAAATACAGAAGAGTTTCTTAAATAAGTGTCCCACATTTAGGAACAATCAATACTTAAAGAATTCATTAGGACATGGTATTCTACAATCAATGTGTGAGCATTAAGAAAATGTTATTCGAAACATTGAAAATTTTCAGAGTTTAGGTCCTATGATTTAGAATTTAGATGTCAAAAAGCCACCATTTAAATTATATATATATAGATATACATATATATGTGTGTATATGTATATATACATGTAATATTCTAGTAAACAAAAGCCATTAATGGCCTATAATCTTATCCTTACTAATAAAATTCAAGATAAAGTATAAAAATATTTACCTATTTCATTATTAACAATGGCTATTCATGAAAAAATAAAACCCTAGATAAATGAAAATGAATACTTATTGACATTCAGCATTACTCTGAAAAAATTGCTTAAAAATACTAGTGACTACATGGCACCATCAATTCAGTGTGTCATTAGACAACCCTAATCCCCTACCCGAGAGCTATTCTCCACTACCTCCTTACTGATAGAACCTCTTTTTTTTTTTTCAGATTGGCCATAATCACACATAAAATGCTCAACTCTACAGACTATTTCCATCAGAAGTGACCAAGTAACAAAAGTGTAAGCAATATGATAAAAATATGGACCCGCTAGAGACTTCTGGGAGTACTTTTGTTTTTCTAATACAGACTCTGTTTTTGTCCCCTTCTCTTTTTCTAGCCTATAACATAACTGAAGAGGGAGACACCATTTTGCCTCCATGATTAGACAAGCATGAAGGTAAAAGCTTCACTGTGAGGATGATGGAGCAAAATCATAGAAGGGGGCCTAGGTTCCCTTCCTTCAGACTTATTATGTGAGAAAAATAAAATACTGTTATAAGGTTAAACAACAAAGATAGGTTTCAACTTCATGTACCTAAATATATCACAATTCACACAATATACATAAAAGTGGTAAAAGTATTCATTATATAAGAAATCCATGATGCCCAATACAATCAAATAGAAAAATTACAGTTCTTTAATTCATTATGATTTTGAATTGATCTTTTACAGTCTTTTAGTTATCAAACTATTAAATACATTTGCACACTCAAGTTTTGTTAATAATGCAGTTGAATCCTATTTCTCTGTGTGTATATGATTGTGTGTGTACAAACATATGTGTGCACATATACTTCAGGAACCTAAAGGAATGATTATTTCTTTTGTAGGGCACTCAATTGTAGTTACCTCAACTCTTCCTTAAATTTCTCCATCCAAGTTCCACTTCCTAAGGGAATAGATCCTAATATATTCCAATAAAAATAATTTAATTATTACTTATTTTGATCTGGCCATCATTGGAGGTTTGCAGCATGAGTGAGTGAGAATTCTGACGCATTTACTTTATCTGTATACCCACTTCAGAGTTTTTATCATAAATGGATGTTAAATTTTGTCAAATGCTTTTTCTGCATCTACTAGCTGATCATATGATTTTAATCGTTCATTTTCTTAATGTAGTATATCACATTGATTTGCAGTCAGAAACCCTGAAAGTAGTGGTTCCCTATGTTCTTATCTTAAGCCAGCTGTTCAGTTTTCCAGTCCTTCTAGAAGGTAGCAGAGTTGCTATCAAGCAATAGCTCTCTCCTCCAAGATCTGAGACACATGTTCATCAGCCTCCACTTTAGTAATCCAGAAAAGCATGTTCCCTGCTACTCTAGATCATAGTGAAACTCAGGAAAGTCATAAATCTCAATAGTCCAGGTAAAGTCCAGGTATTCAAGGCAGCATCTTGCAAAGAATTCCTTTGCAGCTCCGGAGTCAGCTAGAGCAGACACCATCACAACAGCAGTGTGTGGCCTAATCCCTTAGTCCAGACAGTGTGTCTTTTCTCATTATTACTCCCTGCATGGCCAAGAGCACCTCTTCCCAAGCCCCATGGTCAGGAGAGCTCTGTATGGCTGCTACCTCCTACTTTTCTTCTCCTTTCTAAGCCACTTGGCCAAAAGAGTGAATGACTCCCATATTGTTTAAATCCTGGCACCTCATCATAATCACATTTCTGAATCCTCTCACACTGGGTTACACCTACCGGTTCCCACAGCCTTTCTCTCTGGCTGCCTTTGTTAGTCCAGGCAGGCATGGAATGGTGTCCAGAACGCAAGGTGTATAGGAATATTGGAGAGACATACAGGATGTCCTCACCCCTTCCCCCACAGGTGTGAGTTGGGGGAAGGGACACATGGAGCAGGAACATGCAGGGCTGTTCTGTACAGCCACAGCCTTGCAGCTAATCCATGGCATGGTCATTTAACATATCTATAGCCTTTGGTAGGTCACTTGGATATGTTAAATGGCTGTGGCCAGCCTTGGAGCCAGGGGGGTGAAGTCACTTCCCCCCAAGATGTAACTGAGGGGCAGGTCCCCCGAGCTGCAGTGCCTGTGTAGCAGCTTGAAGAAGATTGGCTCTAGGACATGGGGCAATACCTGCCCAGACTAACCATGGCAGTCCAGTAAACTTGTAATGATACAGAAACACTGGCAGGTGTAACTGATTATGGGAGGGGTCGGAAATAGGGGTACAGAGGAAGAATGGCACAGGGATTTAAACCCAGTCATGGCAGCCATTGGAGAAAGCCATGTGGTTTTGGGCAGAGTGAGGACCCCCTCTTGCCCATGGAAAGAGAGAGCCACGCAGCTTTGCCAGAATGGAGATCCCTACAGCCAGGTGAAGAAGAAAGACGTGCACTTTTGATGGAGCGTGGACCCCTGCAGCTTTGGTAGAAGAGGCCCATGTGCCTTGGGGTGCTCCCTTTGGCCGCATGGCCTGGAAAGCAGGAGAGACTTTGACTAGAAAAATGGGTACAAAGAACTCTTGTCAGTGGACTGTGAGGTGCCGCATGACTTTGGATTAATTGGAGATCCTGCCTGGACGGTGACACAGCTGACAGTACCAGCGGCCTGGAAAAACAGACGTGTGCTCTTTTCCTGACTTATGGTACCCCGAGTTAGGACAGAGGGAGAAGGGAGCGCTGTGTGCATAGGTAGATATCCTAGGGGACTTTAATATTTTAATGGGGACATTGGCCACTGCTTTCAGTCTGTATAGCTTTGTATAAACCTTTCCTTTCCTTTTCAGAAATCTCTGACATTGAGAGATGTCTTTCCTTTAGCAGCAGACAGATGAGTCCAGTAGGTATTAATATACCGTTGGGAGGGGCCCCTGTTTTCTGTAACAGTTTTTGGCATCCCTGGGTGGGCCAAATATTGCCCCCCTTGGACCTCTGCTCTGTAACAAATATACAGAGATCATTAAGTTAGGAAGAAAAAAGTAACATAACTATTTCACGTCTTCGTTACTTAAGTCCTAAAGTTACATTTCCTTGGTCAAAGTCATTGTTAATGCAGATGTTTGAGAATAAACATGGTTACTTTAAACACCACATAAGACATCTCTGACATAATGTCTCCCTACTTCCTGTTAATGTGGTAGAAGATGAAAATTTACTAAGTCAAAACAATACTTGTAAAGAAGGCAAATAATAGTTCCTCAGAGTCTGTGAGAGATTTTCAGTAACTACATGGACATTGGCTAGACTGAGAAACTACTGGAGGTCTTCACATATTTTGCCCCTGAAGACTGAGCAGTACCTAAAAGGAAGGTTGAATGAGGCTATAATCCACACCCACTACCCATCCCTAGGACAGAGATGCAGGGATTTTTCCAACCACGAATTTGAACTGCCATCCATTTAATGAAAAATAATTTACTTTTAGTGGTAACTAGGGACATATTCTCCATAAATACCTTCTAAGTACCTATAACTCTCAAACATTCAGAAAATTAAGTTCCCAGTTAAGCAATATGAATAAAAATGGACTAAGGGTGAGGTTACCTAACAAGTTGGTAGGCAGAGAAGAAACCAAAAAGTTTCCTTAGCCAGAATCAAACCTATGTGAAGTGTGCTAACAGGATAAATCATAAATGTCCTCACCACACGCACACAATAATTTTTAAATGATCATATGAGATGATGGAAATGTTAATTTGCTTGTTTTGTTTACAATGCATATGTATATAAAATTCAATGTAATTAAACACATTCAATATGTATAATTTTATTTGTTAATCATACCTAAATAAAGCTGAGGGGAAAAAAGAGAGATTGGGGGAAAAATGGAATATGGAAAGTTCCAATGGAGTGTTAACTGTAGGTAGGTAATGACAGTGCTTATGAGCAATGCTTTGGGGGTATAGGATTTTTATACATTTTTTCAAAAGAAAAAATTTCAGCAAGCACAGCTGTAATAATCCAGAAATAAATTCTCATCCTAGAAGACAGAAATCCATGCAATAGAGTAAGATTCCAAGTCACTGCAGTCAAATAACTTCTAGAGTAATTTCATGCTAAAAGCTAGAAATTGTTCTAGAAGCTATGCATATTATTTTGCCTTCCACTTTAAGAATACAAGAAGGCTTCTATCATCAATGAAGTAGGCAATGAGAGACATCTACAGGAATCCATGTGCCCTTGTAGGAGACTAAATTACACCAATTAAATATGGCTGCACATCCTTAGTACAGATGAGCACCTAAAACAATATAGAAGCAAATAATATGTGCCCTGAATAAAGAAAACAGATGCAAGAAATTCTTCAGCATAGGAAAAAGAGAATTACTCTTAAACACTTCTGGAAATGATTTTACTTTAAGAAGGAGAATGAAATATTTTAAAAATATATAAATCTGAAGCCAACAATCTAATTCAAAACAGTAACACAGATATCCTGATAAACTGAAGTTAAGAATAAAGAAATTGTCTTATTAAAATTCCTGTCTTATATAACAGGGAGATTAAAATTTATGTGTCTTTGTTAAATTTTAAGCTAAAAATTTGGCTAATCATGGCCTTTACCAAAGAATATAAAGTAATCCCAGAGCATAATTTTAAAATGCCCCATTTAAAATCACTGCTGAATAAAATAGCAAACAAGATATAGTGCACATTGCAACGTACTAAACACAAAGTAAAATAGCACAAAAGACACAGTATATGACAAGTCAGTGTGAATTCAGTATTTACATAAGCATAAATGGTTTCAATGTTCAGATATCAACAGGTAAAGACACTGGAACTAATTACAACCAAATTCTAATAAAAATTAAAGAGGTTTAAATTCGCAAGTACCATATCATATCTTTGGGTTTCTCTGTCTCTGGATATTTGAGTTCTTGTTTAGACCAACAACTGCTTTGCATGAACCTAATCAACTTCTTCAGGGAGTAACACATGATATCTTGCCTCATGGCCATGCTGTGTACCCTTTCTTCCTGTCCTATGCTTTTATATTGATGCTGAGGTATGAGATGTAATAGTGTCTTCTTGGTCCCTCATTCACAAGCAACCTAGATGAAAAGGGAATTGATTTTCCATGAAGTGTAACTTTGGTCAGTGAGAGACATGAGAGAATGAAAAATTCTTTATTCTTCCTTTGCTGTATAAAATGTCCCTAATAGTCATTCATTTATGTGGCCTCTTGAAAGATGGTACAACATTGAGGATTCAAGATGGCAGAGGAAGTTACACTAACCTCCTAAGACCAAACTAAAATTACAACTAAATTACAGAAAAATTATCCTGAACAATCAAGTGACGCTAGCTGGGGAGAAGCCTTACAACAAAGGACTTATATAAGAAACCAATCACCACATCAAGACTGATAGGGAGTGTGGAGGCGTGAGAGGGCTGGCTAAACGGCAGCCAACGGTCTGGAGGTATATTTCAGTGACTGGAAAGTGTGTGGCCTACACCCCCAGCTAGAGCACCAGAATCAAAGAAGGACTCCAGATAACATCCAGCTGTAAAAAGCAATGGGATTTCTACCTGAAAAGACAGCTAGAGACACAGAGAGCCTCTTAAAGCCCGAAGATACAGAATTTTGGTTGTAGCCACTTAACCTGGGCTCATTCAGGGGGAGTACAGAGTAAACTAGAGCTAACTGAGGAGAGTCTAGGATAGTTGGCTCTATGGGAAGAGGGAAAGGTACAGCTGCCAGGTTCTCTAAGTTCAGTCACTCCCCATACTGCAGAAGCCATCTTTCTCAGGCAGAGCACTCGCCTCCATGCGGCATCACCCTGGGGGGAAACAATAAGCCCATCCACAGAATCCCTCTTGCCCTACTCTATGGAGCTTAAGGTCTAATAAGGAGACAACGAAAGGCTCCTTAATTGATTAAACCTAACAGAAACCCTGCAGGCAAAGGTGGATCTCCAAAAGCGTTAGTTAGGACTTTAGCTGGCCCTACCCTAGACCCCAGGTAGGTAAAAGCTGGCCTTGGTGTACAGCTTGCTTCTTTCTACACACATCCAGGCCCAACAGAGGGAGACACAGGATGTGATAACTGGTAGCTCCGAACAGGTTGCCCAAGGCCAGCCAGAGGCAGCATATGACATAGGCCTCACCAGAGTCTTTGCAGATCTACCTAATACAGAGAAGCAAACACAAAGAAGCAGCCAAACTGGGAAGACAAAGAAACAGGGCCAAATAAAAGGACTAGAGAAAACTCTAGAAGAAGACTAAATGAAATGGAACCAAGCAACTTATCAGATAGAGAGTTTAATGTAATGATTATATAGATGATCAAAGGTGCAAAAAATGAAAGAAAAGCCATTTAAAAAGGATCTGTTAGGTATAAAGAATGTAATATCTGAAATAAATAATATACTGGAAGGATTAGATAGTAGGTTAGATAAAGCAGGGGGTCAAATCAGTGATTTGGAAGACAAGGTAGAAAAAACGCAAGCAGAGCAGCAAAAAGAAAAAAGAATTTAAAAAAATGATGAAAGTTGAAGAGACCTTTGGAACTACTAGATGCATTGAAATGTCCATGTCATGGGTATAACAGAAGGGGAAGAGAGTGAGAGAGAGATGGAGAATTTATGTGAAGAAATAGTGACCAAAAATGTCCTTAAACTGGTGAAGCAAAAAGACACACAAGTCTAGGAAGTATGGAGAATCCCAAACGTGTTGGACCCACAGAGGCCCACGCCAGAACATGTCATAATTAAAATGGCAAAGCTCAAATACAAGGAGAGAATCTTAAAAGCCACAAGAGAAAAGCGGTTATTACCTGTTATCTGATTTCTCAACAGAAACATTGCAGCCCTGATGGGATGAAATAGTCAAGGTGATGAAAAGCAAGGACCTATAAACAAGGCTACTTTACCCAACAAGGCTTTCATTTAAAATTGAAGGAGAAATAAAGAGCTTCCCAGACAAGAAAAAGCTAAAGTTTGTTATCACCAACCAGGACTGCAGCAAATGTTACAGGGCTTGCAGAAAAAGAAGGAAGAAGAAGAGGGAAGAAGAGGAAGGGGGAGGGAAGGGGAGAGGGAGGAGAAGGGACAGAAGGGGAGGGGGAGAAGAAGAAAAAGAAGAAGGAGGAGGAGGAGTAGGAGAAGGGAACAGAGAAAAATAGTTAAAAAGGGCAATAAATACATATCTATTAATCACTTTAAATGTGAATAACGTAAATGCTCCAATCAAAAGACATAAGGTAGCTGAATAGATAAATAAACAAGACCCACAGATATGCTGTTTCCAAGAGACCCACCTCAGAATTAAAGATATGCACAGATGAAAAGTAAAGAGATGAAAAAAGGATATTTCGTTTAAATGGGAAAAAAAAGCTAGGACAGCAGTACTTATATCTGACAAAATAGACTTTAAAACCAAGGCTATAGTAGGAGACAAGGAAGGGATGCTACATAATGATAAAGGGAACATCCAACAAAGGGGACATAACCCTAGTAAATATTTACACACCTGGTATAGAAGCACCTAAATATGTAAAGTAAATCTTGATACATATAAAGGAAGAGACTGACAGATTACAGTAATAATAGGGGATTTTAGCACTCCATTAACCTCAATGGATAGATCTTCCAGACAGAATATCAACAAGGAGTCAGCAGCCTTAAATGACACAATAGGTCAAATGGATTTAACTGATATCTTCAGAGTGTTTTATCCCAAAGCAGCAGAATATACTGGTACATTTTTTACCTGCACATGGAATATTTTCCGGGATAAATTACATGTTAAGACACAAAACAAATCTCAAAGATTTAAGAAGATTGAAATTATATCAAGCATGAGAAAATGACCATTTTCTCTGCTGTGAAAGTAGAAATCAATCACAAAAAGAAAACTGAAAATTACATAAAGACATGGAAGCTAAATAACATATGTTAAACAACAGGAACAAGGAAGAAATCAAAAGACACCCTAAAACAAATGAAAATGAGAACAATTCCCAAAATCTGTTGGAAACAGGAAAAAGCAATCTTAAGAAGAAAATTCATAGCATTACAGGCCTATCTCAAAAAAAAAAGCTCAAATAAACACTCACCTGAAGAAACAGGAAAAAAGAACAACAAACAAAGCTCAAAATGAGTAGAAAGAAGGAAATAATAAAGATCGGAGTAGAAATAAATGTAATAGAGTCTAAAAAATACAAAAGAACAATGAATCCAAGAGCTACAAAAACTAACAAGACTGACAAAACTTTAATTAAATTCATCAAGAAAAAAAGACAGGACATTCAAATAAATACAATCGGAATTGAAAGAGGAGAAATAACAACTGACAATAAAGAAATACAGAGGATTGTAAAAAATTACTGTGAACAACTATATGCCAACAAATTGGACAACCTGGATGAAATGGATAAATTCCTAGAAACATACAATCTCCCAAAACAAAATCAGGAAGAATCAGAGAATCTGAATAGATTGATTACATCTAAGGAAATTGAAACAGTAATCAAAAAATTTCCAACAAACAAAAGCCTGGACAAGAATGCTTCAGTCATAAATTTTACCAAACATTCTGAGATAAAATAACACCTCTCCTTGTCAAACTATTCCAAAATATTCACAAGGAG